TATTTTTTTTACAGACTGTAGACAACTCATTCTTTGATATGTCATAGAATAATATTGTATTTGAGGAAAAAAACATGAAAATCAGTACAGGATAGCAAAACAGTAAGGCCCTTTAAACATATCTAGGTTACCCAGGGTGTCACAATTCTGGATTGTGGTAATGGTGATAGTATTTGTACCAGTGACCTTGAACTCTTGTTGCCAGTATAATGTGATGCATTAGAACAAATGTGTTGGTATAGAACACTATTCGGTGATTAGGTGAAATCTGTAAGGCTGTAGAACACTTCCCACTGTATAACCAGGTTATAAACAGCACTACAGGTCCACAGCTGTAATGCTGACCAATTGTCATTTTATGATTGTCCAGTTTACCAATGCCCATCAACATAACCCAAATGGCCACTTTGCTCTTCCCCCAAGTTTTGCAGCTCTGTGAGGATCCTGTTTTATTTGAAACTGCAATGAGTCCTAGGCCAATTATAGCTCCACAGTAAGGTTTATGGCTGTTTTACAGTGTTGCACTTCTAAAACAAATATTTCAGCTCTATTTCCAGGAATGCCAAAGAACCTATCATTCAAGATTATTACAGTTCTACAAATACCAAACGGTCAAACAGCTTTTATCCTGCCCCCTTACCCCCACCCATCCCTACTAAAAAGTCCAAGAGATCAATGAAGACAATTATTTTGCCCTAAAAAGGTTGTTCAGTCTGTGTTGGGGTTAACCACACTGCCCAGACCATAAGATTGAAGTGAGCATTCTGTCCATATCAAAAGGTTGTATATTTCATTGGGGTCAATCATGCTGCTCACACCAAATGGTTGTAAAAAGATTAATGCTCTCATCTTCAGACACTAATTATTTGATAAAAGACAAATTACTCCCGGAAAAAAAATGATTATTTTGACAAACCTTAGAGATATTCATCCTGTATAAGTTAAGATGTACATGATAACTTTGAATGTTAACATTAGATAGACTTTATATCAAAGTCATGGTATAACTGATCTCTTAATATCACAAGCAGTCACAAACAACTATCAAAACTGAGCCACACAATTTTACTCTGAGTATCAATTCAAGCCCAACATATTTTTCATTGAAATTTCAATGTACTACACCCTGAAACAGCTGATATAGAGTAAACACAAAACCTCACACATTTTATACAGGGCCAACATGAAGTATCACCAATTGTATACAAAGTCAAAAATTCAGCCTTGCACATTCTGTGCAATGCGTGTTCACACTTTACCTTAGTACTCTGCCAAGCTGGCCTTGTACTCCCATCCTTCTACAGACAGAAACACATCTATCTTTCATAGAAAACCTATAGATCCAATCCCAGTTATGGTTCTGCTCTACATGGCACAGCAACAAAAAGTTGACATGAACATGTACAGAACCTGTGTTAATAATACATTATTTATCCTATACTTATAACTTGTTGTTTTCAATTATTCAAATCGCCTGCAGCCCACCACCATTAAAGCCCTATACGGAGGCTGTGGAATATAATTTACTTACTATTCAACGACTTCTTTGTCGATACAAACTCTGATCAGGTACACTGATAGAGTCATCAGGGACTCTGATTAACCTTTGTAAATCGAATGACCATTGATTTAGTGCTATATAGGGGAAACATACATGTAAAACAAAGATAAAAGAACAGAGAAATCTTTGTAAATAACTCTACACAGTTTTATAGTAAGTGTCAAATAAATGGTAATTACTTCCACAGTAGCTGTTACAACTGTAGTAATGGACACTTCTAAACATAAAGTGTGTAATATAAAAGATTCCTAGATCCTCCTCTATCTCTTCATGCTGATAAAACTATATATTCAGGGTTCCCTGCGACCTTTCTATAGCTAATGATCTACAGGGGTATTGAGGATATATGGGCACACATGTAGCTAATGAAATAACTAAAGATTCTTCACAAATATATCTAAAGAAGTAAAGCAGTTTCATAAAATGTGCAAAACAAATGTTACCTTGCCTCCAAGTTTTTCAAAGACAGAATATCTGTTTAAATCTGCCAGAGTCTGTATATCCATTAGGACTTCTTCAATATTAGTCAGCATATACTATAAGCTTTCCCGCCTATTTATTTGTATTACAATGTATCATTGGAAATAGAAGCATCCACGTAATACAGACGGGTAAAACTCCTCCCATATCCTGAAGGCATTGTCACTTAAAAAAGGCGCCAAATTAAAGCATAGGATATTGAGGTTCAACATGGGTGAGCTTTCAGGATTATTTTCGAATGATACACTTTTGTAAAAAAAAAATTATACCTGATAAAGTAATTAATCATCTTGCTGTTGTCATTTCAACATAAAATACTATTATGTTAATATGATTTCATCCTCAATCACATATTCCACAGATTAACCACTGTCTAGACCTCATTCCTGATTAATGGATGGCCTTGCTTTAAGAGTGATTTCCTGTGATATTCCTTCAGACTTGATTGTATCGTATGCCCCTTATACACATGTCCTTCACAATTAAAATTTTATGAAAACAGAAACATAGGGCCTGTATTTCTCTGAAAAATATATTTGAAATGCTTAAAATGTCTTTCTATACTTAATATTTTCTGCTTAAAAAGGACTTTCTACCTTCAAATGGATACTGTTGGATGACTTCAATCATCAGAGCTCTATGTAGCTTCCTGAATTTAGGGAATATTTTAATTTGATACATGAATCTATAAAGCATTACTTTTACAATCAAATTCTAGGTGTGTACATCTTTATAGTAAATACTATGACAACATGTGTGATGATGTGTGTTTTAGTACATAAGGAATATTGGATATTAAGGAGACATTGCCCAGTATAAATGTGTTATAAACAAACAATGCATTGAGTGTGCTCCTAATAAACATGTATTAGTATATAACTATAGAATTGTAAACATAACAGTGATGGTTTGTTTGGTGGGTTTATATTAACCTGTGAACAATTAGGGTCATTTTCAGGTGAGGACTCATTGTAGTGAATGGTGGCTTCCTTACTTAACAACATACAGGAGATCCTTTGTCTGCCACCAGAGCAATTAGTGTAAAGTTTGTTACACAAGGCCACAACCACATCAGCACTGACCAGTCCATTTCTCAGCTCACTGAGAAACACAATCCACCATGGGTAGGGAGTGTAAAACCATGCACCTCTTCAACTGAGGTTGAACAGATCAAGGTTCTAATCGACAGCACTCTCACTGCTCAAATGCAGTCATGGCTTTAACATTTGATATTATATTTAATAAACAATTATTAGCTAGTTATTGATTTTTCCAGGATTCTTCTTACAACAGCTGTATATAATTGTACTTGATCGTTATACATTAAACTACTTTCTATGACTTGCCGTAACTTGCTTAGAGAGACTAAATATTGTATAAAAAATGATAGTATATCTTCGTATATGTACAATGTTTACATGATCCAAACCCTATCATTGGTACATATAGGCTGTCAGCTGTTTCCTTCATTATGTCATTGTATTGTTGTAGAGAGGAATTCAGAACAACAATAGTTTAGTTATAGCATTGAATTCCAAACTTGCATGCCCAAAAAAGGAGCCGATTGACAAAGCAGAATATTTCATCCCTAGCCATAACAGGGCTTACTTAATTTCTGTATGTTGTTCTTATATACATGATTACATCATATACATCCTGATATAATTAAAGCATAGAAAACTAAATTATCTCCCTTTATAGTCTACAGTAACATATACATCAATATTTAAATATGTTTCCTCTCTAAACTAAGGCTGTAAATCATAGACCTAAAATCATTTTTATTATTATTGCTCTCTAAGCACACTAACAAAATCATTTCTATCATCTTGTTTTAGGTTAGTTGTGTCCCCTTGGTGCTGTAATTCAGATGAATTCATCAATCATTGCCCAACAGGACTATGACATAATACTTCTATACAAGGTCTCCATAGATATAGTCCAATAGCGGTCACGGAGAAGATTTCTAGATAAGATATATTACCTAAGGTTTATAGACATGTCCCACATCAGTTATTAATAATGTTCCCCTCCCTGACCATAATCAGACAATGTTCCCCTGACAGCGGTAGGTGATGATGTGTTACATATCTACACTGCCTGTTGTAAACTGACCTTACAGAATGCACATCACCTATATAGTTTTAATCTTTTGATCTTTGTGTGACTTTCAAAGTGTTCTTTAGGAAACAGAAAGTATTCTTTTACCAAAGGTCCAAACTCCAGACCGGAGTAAAATCACACTTTAAAAATTAAAATGTGACAGTTATTGAAGTGAATAGTATTAATGAAATGTAGAAAGCATGGTTTTACCTTGAATATACAGGAATATTTCTTGTCAAAATAGGATGATATGGTACAAAGATTATAAACATTTTTAATTTGGTTGGTTCCTTGTTTCAGATTGCAGGGAGACTTTTCTGTCAAAATCCAAAATTTTCATTGGTTTTTGTTAAAAGATTTTGGAATGGACAGAGCCTATCAGCTATGTTTGTTAAATTATTACTCCTAAATAAGTTATTATGAATTTCAAAGCTGACAATACATGAAAATTCTATATTGATGTTGTTGTGGTGAGAAAACATGTTATATTACCATATATAACTTAGGTAAAGTTACACTTGACTGTTAAGTGATCATGTGAAATTATTCATGAAAGTAATCTTGTACACTGAATCACATTGATATTGGTCAAGTATGCAATCTTATATCTATACCTAATACTGACCTATATCAGAAATCTACATACAGTCCAGGATACAGCTGTGAACACATGCAGATTTAATCCAGACACAATATAAACAGGATAGTTTGTAACTTAAAGATTTCAGAATGCAAACACAACCAGAAGTCAAATTAATATACCATTAACACAGAGACTGTTTCTACCATCTATTATATATACACATCAAAACTATGATAAATGGTTAAGTACCCAGTACACTTCAGATTATATTACCTGGTCAGCATCTGGAGCAATCCAACATCAAATGGTGGTGAACCACTACACACAAGTCCAACATCGCAAGTCAAATGTTACAGATCACACATGTCCAACAACACAGTCATCCAAATTCAGGGAAAGTAAAAGATGACAGTGGCACCAGGTTACAATATTTGGCCAAGCTATATACCATAGTACAGCATGCTGTTTATAGTGTTGTGAACCTCCCATCGAAGTAGTCTCTAATCATATTTGTTATCACACAGAAAATCCAGATCAAGGCAAACTGAATGTTTTATGTAATTCCTACATCCTGATATACACACTCCTCCAGCTTATTCTCAGAATTGAAGCTAAAGGTATTGTTTGCCTCACAAAAACACGCTCTGTTAGGTGCCTACATATATCTGGTGTAACCTAACATTTCATCACCAATGACTCAGTTGCTGGCTGCTGCCATCTGAGGCACTGCTTGATAGGCCTGAGGGACAGGATATACACTACCATTTCTCTGAACTCCAAACTTAAATTCTACAAACAGTTCCTTGAAAACATGAGATTAAAACAAATCATGTCATTGAAGAGGATATTAAGATGGAATCATTGCCACTCTAAAAAAGAAGATATCATTTACACCCAAAATTGGACCAAAAAAAGAAAATAACAACAAACTGTAGTTATAATTCATTACAATCACAATAAATAAATAATTAATTGTACATGTGTGATATAATAATGTTAACAAAAAAGTTTGAAAAAAAAAGATAATTCAAGTGTAGGACCAATAAACATTTACAAAAGAACAAAAGCTTATGGATTTAAAGTATTACAGATGTGATTGATGGCTTTTCAACATCATGTCCTTCGTAGGGGAGCCATTACATCAAACACGTAGTTATCTAAAACAGGTGGCATTTTTCCTGCTACCAGAAACAAGGAGAAGTTTTACCCTTTAGGGAGCCCCATGATGACAGGAGGGTGGGGCAGCAGGGGAGAGGCAGGGGGGCCAGTCATAAATCCAGTCCTGTATCCTGTTGTGGTGAGAATCAGGACTTAATGCTTGGATCAGCTTTGCTGACATCTGTTTATTTAACTTGTATCTAAGTCATTAGCACTGTGATTTACTGCTTTAATGGTCTGACTCATTAGATCCCTACAGTCAGAGATGTAACATCTTCATCAAAACTCATTCATAGAAATGTTTACCAAATAGGACATCTCTATACTGTATGTTTGTATCCTAGGATTCAGTGCCCACATTTCTGAGAGGACATGGATGAAGAATGCTGTTCTATCACTCCAAACCTCTCAGCTTTTGTGCCAGTAAAAGGTGATGAAACAAAACTATCTAATCTCTACAGCAGTTCTGAATTTGAATTTCAATGTTGAAATTCAACACCACAAATATAAGTAGATCTGGCAAACATAAGTTTTCCTGTCTTGAGACGGTCTAGACATGGGTCCAAACAATGGTTATGATCCAATGATTTTACTCACCACTGAGCCATACTATAGGTATATTCCCTAGGAGATGATAAATAACCTCCTGTGACCAACAGTCATTCATCACAGAGGGAGAAAGATAGGAGGTAATTATAGATATATTTTGTTAATAGAGTGTCAGGATTAGACTAAACAATAACTAATAATGGAACCATGTGTAATACATCATTAACTGGTAATTGGCAATGAAAACATTGGGCAATGCTAAGCTGTACACAAAACAATAAACACCCCCATCTTCCAAAAATACCTTTTCTGAACAGTGCCACATGAAATCAGGATTTCCCCTTCAACTGGAGTAAATAAAGAATGAGAAATTGAGCCACTTTTATCAAAACAGTGAGACTAAGCAATGCCTTTTGTACCGTTCTGAAATTTGATTGGTTAAATCCTGATAAATACAAAACCTCTATCCTTGTAGTGTCATCACACCATAACTAATACAGAACATCTTCATCCAAGCTGGAGTCATTTTAATCTCCGGCATTTCCCTCACTTTGATGTAAAACATTACGACGGCTACATAGACTACATCAGTTTGTATATTTCCTCCTATACATAATTTTAGACAGTGCACACAACCCAAAAGTCCAACATTGGGTTTACTACATAGCATGTCATTATTTTTCAAAGCTACCATTATAACTGACCCATGCCTCTATAAAATCTCAAACCAGTCATTATTTCAGTGTGTGTACAACTACAGTGGTGCATTAACTAGTGTTACAATATCATTTCATTCTACAGGAAACAAATTCCTTTTCTGATCTTTAAAAAGTAACAACATTGATCTTTCTATCGCAATGCAAGCTTTTGAAACATTTGACATTAAACACTTGAATGATTTATTCAAATCTTTGATAACACAAACAACAAACCCTGCTTCGGGAATAGGTATCTGAATACCAAAGATTATAAAATTAAATGGATTAATTCAGAATTCCATGCAGCGCGGTGCATTGAAAGGTTTCCAGGTACAGATATAACTCAAGTAATCTGGCAGCCACTTCCTGAAAATTGATACCTACCCATTACAGTATTCAAATTCTTTAAAATGTTTACAAAATGACCTGTTTGAGTTGAAATTTTCTTCTTCCTGTTTTAAAGTGTCAGGATTAGTCACAGTAATGATTTACCATTGGTACAATTTAAAGGAACGCACTCTGGAGCCCCTGAAGTTCAGAACACAGTAATGGATAATGGTTCAACACTTTACATTTGATACCAGGCTGTAGTGGTCATCACTTCACATAGAGTACATATCCTTAAATATTCTAAAGTCCAAATTTAGCAGTTCAAGCCGTCAGGGCCATACAAGATAAATCAATCTGTGTTGTTTATGTCCCAAAAGCAAGAGTTAAAATTGTGAAGTATTTTACAAAATTCAAAACTGCATGCAAACTAAATTTCATTTCAAAATTATATATAAGTTTTTCTATGATGTAAGAGATACATAAAAGTACAAGTACTAATTACTCTGATAGCTACTAAGATATCTCCTGGTTACCCTGGTTGTTACTCAGATATCTAATGTATACCCTGGTTGTTACTCAGATATCTAATGGATACCCTGGTTGTTACTCAGATATCTAATGGATACCCTGGTTGTTACTCAGATATCTAATGGATACCCTGGTTGTTACTCTGATATTTGCTGGTTAACCTTGTAGTTACTCAGATATCTCCGTGTTAACCTTGTAGTTCCTCAGATATTTCCTGGTTAACCTGGTTGCTATTCAGATATCTTCTGGTTACTATGGTAGTTATTCAGATATCTATTGGTTGTCATTGAAGTTACTCAAGTATTTTTGTTTACCCTTTTGTTATTCTGGTATCCATTGGTTACAAAGAAGCAACTCAAGCATCTAGTGGTTACTCTTACACTTCTATATGTAAACATTAGTTACCCTGGTATTTACCCAGGTATCAATGATCCACAAGCTTGGTAATTCAAGTATCTACTAGTGACCCTGATAGTTACTTTGGGTATAAATTGGTTACCTGATAGTTACTAGGGTATAAATTGGTTAACTGATAGTTACTAGGGTATAAATTGGTTACCTTGATAGTTACTAGGGTATAAATTAATTACCCTGATAGTTACTAGGGTATAAATTGGTTACCTTGATAGTTACTAAGGTATAAATTGGTTACCTTGATAGTTACTAGGGTATAAATTGGTTACCTTGTTAGTTACTAGGGTTTTAATTGGTTACCTTGATAGTTACTAGGGTATAAATTGGTTACCTTGATAGTTACTAGGGTTTTAATTGGTTACCTTGATAGTTACTAGGGTATATATTGGTTACCTTGATAGTTAGTAGGGTGTAAATTAATTTCCCTGATAGTTACTAGGGTATAAATTGGTTTCCTGATAGTTACTAGGGTATAAATTGGTTACCTTGATAGTTACTAGGGTATATATTGGTTACCTTGATAGTTACTAGGGTATAAATTGGTTTCCTGATAGTTGCTAGGGTATAAATTGGTTACCTTGATAGTTACTAGGGTATATATTGGTTACCTTGATAGTTACTAGGGTATAAATTAATTACCCTGATAGTTACTAGGGAATAAATTGGTTACCTTGATAGTAACTAGGGTATAAATTAATAACCCTGATAATTACTAAGGTATAAATTGGTTATCCTGATAGTTACTAGGGTATAAATTGGTTACCTTGATAGTTACTAGGGTTTTAATTGGTTACCTTGATAGTTACTAGGGTATAAATTGGTTACCTTGATAGTTGCTAGGGTATAAATTGGTTACCTTGATAGTTACTAGGGTATATATTGGTTACCTTGATAGTTACTAGGGTGTAAATTAATTTCCCTGGTAGTTACTAGGGTATAAATTGGTTTCCTGATAGTTACTAGGGTATAAATTGGTTACCTTGATACTTACTAGGGAATAAATTATTTACCCTGATAGTTACTAGGGTATAAATTGGTTACCTTGATAGTAACTAGGGTATAAATTAATAACCCTGATAATTACTAAGGTATAAATTGGTTATCCTGATAGTTACTAGGGTATATATTGGTTACCTGATAGTTACTAGGGTATAAATTGGTTTCCTGATAGTTACTAGGGTATAAATTAGTTACCTTGATAGTTACTAGGGTATATATTGGTTACCTTGATAGCTACTAGGGTGTAAATTAATTTCCCTGATAGATACTAGGGTATAAATTGGTTACCTTGATAGTTACTAGGGAATAAATTATTTACCCTGATAGTTACTAGGGTATAAATTGGTTACCTTGACAGTTACTAGGGTATAAATTGGTTACCTGATAGTTACTAGGGTATAAATTGGTTACCTTGATAGTTACTAGGGTATAAATTGGTTACCTGATAGTTACTAGGGTATAAGTTGGTTTCCTTAATAGTTACTAGGGTATAAATTCATTTCCCTGATAGTTACTAGGGTATAAATTGGTTACCTGATAGTTACTAGGGTATAAATTGGTTACCTTGATAGTTACTAGGGTATAAATTAATTTCCCTGATAGTTACTAGGGTAAAAATTGGTTACCTGATAGTTACTAGGGTATAAATTGGTTACCTTGATAGTTACTAGGGTATAAATTGGTTACCTTGATAGTAACTAGGGTATAAATTAATTACCCTGATAGTTACTAGGGTATAAATTGGTTAACTTGATAGTTACTAGGGTATATATTAATTACCCCGGTAATCACTAGGGTATATATTAGTTACCCCAGTAATCACTAGGGTATATATTAATTACCCCGGTAATCACTAGGGTATATATTAGTTACCCCGGTAATCACTAGGGTATATATTAGTTACCTCGGTAATCACTAGGGTATATATTAGTTACCCCAGTAATCACTAGGGTAT